GACACTGGAAAAGAAGTACATTCAATACTGAGCTAAACTTTCAATCCAATAATTAAATAAACAATCTCAAAGAAAGTAGGAGTAAGTAAATAATAAAGGTAGGAGAAGACAGTAAATCAGAAGCCAACTAAAAATGAATTATTTTCAAAGAGTATAATATAGATAAAATTATGACAAAAATATTAGGAATATAAAAGGAGAACATGAAGGTAAATAATACAGAGATCTTTAAAGTAATAAAAGTTTTTTTCCAATAAGTGTAAAATTTCAAATGAAATAATGATTTTGTAGAAAAATGCAATTCACCTAGCTTGACCCATGAAGACATAAGTAAGCCAAATAGAAACCATGAAAATAATTGAATCATTGATCAAAATCTATCCATATAGCAAAACCATTGAATTCATTTGGTTTCAGAGGTGAGTTTTTATAACCCTAAAAGGAACCTTTTTTGTTGTTGTTTTGCAGTACTGAGGATTGAACTAAGGACCTTTGCACTCAGCTATATTCCCAGCACTTCCCCGACTTTTAAATTCTGAGACAGGGTCTCACTGAGTTGCTAAGTTGCCCAGGTTGGGTTTGAACTTGCCATCCTCTTGCCTCTGTCTCCCAGTGCTAGAACTCAGCTAAGGAACAATTTTATATAAAAAAAGTTCTTTGTATTTTATTAAGGTTTCAAGATATGTGAAAAACTCAGTAAGAAATCAAGCATCTGTTAATAATAAATACTGTTGTCTTTGTTAAAGTTGATATAAAGTAATGCTCCCAGTTGTTGAAAAATAGTCTTCTCTTATTTTAAATATATTCTTTCTGTTTTTTTTTTCTTTTGGTACTGGGGATCGAACTTGGGACCTTGTGCTTTCGAGGTAGGAGTTGGAACCACTGAGCTAAATCCGAGGTCCAGTCTTCTATTATTTTAAATGTACTAAAACACCTTGATGGTAAAACACAGTGGGAGATTCCATAGACCCTAAAGTTGGTCTTCATAAAGTAATCAAAGAGCTGAAGTTAGCCTTCAGCCAGGAAATAGAAATTGTATTTGCAGCCCAAGGAGAGTGGATGGAGGATTGGGGAGAGAAGGGAATCAGGTCTCTTCTTCTGGCTTTTGTAGGACCCAACACATATGTCCCCAGGAACACATGACACTACCTATGTGTGCAAAGGGAGATGTGGCTGAAGTCACACCGAAGACCATGAGCTCAAGATCAACCAGCTCCAGGTAAGACAAACAGGGCAAAAAAACAGACAGAGAAAAAGAGTATGGATTTTCAGAAATCACAATCTCTGTAATTTGGGCAGACACGAAACTCTTGGGTTTCATATTTCAAATCCAGCCTGGAATCCAGAGGAGACATCTTCATAGACCAATTTGCTTTCTGCTTTTCCCTTAAAATAGTAAGAATATAAGTTGATTAATTTCCAGATAGCAGGATGGAGGGAGGTAGAAAATTCTACATCCTTACGTCAAGTTGAGGAGTAAAAGAAATGCAAAGGACAGGATACCCTGGGACATCTGGGAAGGGAGGCAAGCAGACCCTCATAACCCTGAGGCATGGGGAGGGTGCATGGGGGAGCTCAGCATGAGGAGCAAGCTGTGTTCCTTGACAGGGCAGGGGTCCCAGGGCTCCGTCCTCTGAGCAAAGGTAGGGTGCACAGTGGCTCTCATTCAGGTCAACACAAAGCCCACTGACCCACTTCCTGGGCAAAGAAATCAGATTGGACAATCTTCACAAACACCAGGACATTTTCTCTTCTTAGTTTTTTGGTTACCTATTAGTCCAGGCCTTGGAACTCCATTCCTTGCCTACAGGATTTACCAGGCAAAGTTTGTATTTATAACTACACAAAGAAAATAAATGGTTGCTCAAAATATAAATAGCCAAGGTGAAAAAATAATGAGTTCCTATGTCTGAGGACCTAAGAAACAAACTAGGAAATGTTTCTTGTCAACATGTTTAAAGCTTTTCCAAGATGCACTCAATTTACCACATGCCTTTGTTTGTTTTCTTAAATGACTTCACATATATATCAACATCATTGCCATCACCATTGTCCTTTTAGGACATTTTCTAAGTACTCAACTACTTTTTTTTTCAACTCAAGAATTAGGAAATTGATTTTCCCTAATAACAAGGAAAAATAATACTGTAGATATAAAGCTGAATATTCAATACTTTTCCAGAAATGTATTTTCACTTCTAACTCTAATATTTCTAATATTATAATGTATGGCAATTTAGAAAACTATTACAAAATCACCATCAGGCAATATTTAAAAGCCCTACATATGTCATTAGGAACGTCCAGTTTGGGTAACATGTTGGTCCTTGTTTAATGTTTCGCAATGTTCTCTGGAGCAGGTAAATTCAGGAACACCAGGTACAGAGAATAAAAGGGCTCTAAATAGAAACCATAGCACTCAGTGTGAGCTGCCATTTGAGTTATACTGTGTAGCCTCACATGCCCCTACACAGCTAAACTCCTCCTCCTTCCCAAATATGAACAATTGAACACAAGTAGACTGCTCCCAAATAAAAGTTTTACCAGTGCAAAAGTTACAGCAGAACTTGAATGACTGGACTTCGTTAAATGAGCTGTGAAAGTGTCCCACAGCACAGGACAGTTGTGGCCAAGCCAGGCAGAGAGCTCTGGGCCTGGGGAGGGGGCGTCCACAGGAGACAGTTTTCTGGGCATTTGCAGGCTCCTCCAGGAATGCAGCTGAAGAAGCAGGAGAAGGCTGGGGTAAGAGATGAAGACACATGGCAAAGACCCCAAGCACCATCTTTCTGGACTTAAGATTGCACTTTTTTCCCAGTAAGTATATTCCCTCTCCACCCTCCACAACAGTCTGCACCTGGCTGCCTGGGATCCCTCTCTAGTCAAGAGACACAAACATCTGCATTGTCATCTCTCTGCACTGCCCAGATGCCAGAGGGAAAGATAACATGGTGGCTAGAAAAGTATGGAATTTGAGGAATGCAGGTGGATAGGGAGGATGGGAACTGGGTCAAGTAGTAAAAAAGTGGACCAGGAGCACTCACATGCCGGGCTAAGCCCACTGCCACCCTTGAGCTTGTGTGCATGCATGAATCAACACTTAATGAAACGCCACACAAGGAAAGCCATGAGGTCAAATAAGATGGATGGGACATCACAGACATGGCAGGGACTAAAAGACCACCCACAGGAAAAGGACACTGGAAAAGTGCAGAGACAAAGAGGAGAGAAACACAAGAGGCTTCCCAGGGCCCTGGAAAAGGAAGCTGAGTGTCAGAAAGAGCAGTCACTGTTGTGCCACTCTCACTACGCCACCAACACCACTGCCACCCAGGACAGTGCTGTGGGGTGCTTCTGCCTATGCCCCCAGCGTTGCCCCAATAGAACAGGCACAGAGATGCCACCTGTGCCAGATGGGCAGTCGGGCTGCCCCTCCCCCAGCAGAGTCACCTCCCCCGTCACAGCTTCGTCCTCTGCCAAACAGGCTCCTGGTACCCGTCCAGGATGGAGGCTGTGAGAATTGCACTTAAGTGCGGACTAGCGGCTGTCATTAGCGTAATTAATCTGATTAAAATAATCAGGAGCAGAGAACAGAAGAAGAAAAGGCCAGAATGCAGCAGTGTTGGGGACAGGTGCAGCCCTACAAGGAGACAGTGACCGGGCTGCAGGCTGAGACAGAGTGAAGGGCAAGGGTGGACCCCTGCGCACTGTACCTCCCCCACTCGGTCCCCGCTCTTCCCTCCCACCTCCATGCGGTGAGAATGGTCGAACTTGCACCCCACAGGGCAGGGACGGTGTGAGGACCAGGTGCAGAGGTGGCATCTGAGTGTACTATGAGAGGCTGGGTGTTTATCAGTCCAGCTGGTGTACGAGGCTGTCTGGTCACCTTATACCGCTGCTCAGCCAGCAGAGCCCTGCCGAAACCCAGCAATTACAGCCTGTGAGGTCATCAAATAGTATGGGGCTCCCGTGGTCACCAACAGAATCTCATGAATTTACACTGACACCAAAAGTGTGTTTGAGGCTCATCTCCCATGGCTTTGCCCCTCACAACCATCCCTCCACCCACTTTGCGACCTCTTCCAACTGTGTCTGTATTTCACCCTCTCTGGAAGGTTGCTTCCCCTCCTCACCTCCAGCTGAACAGACTCCAGGCACCCTTGCAAATCCAGTGCCTCCTTGCACTGCCCTGTGGTGTTTGCTGAACTTGTCATCCTTACTTCGGGTGCTAAGTAACTGGCACCCTCTACCCATAATCAATAACCTGCCTCACCTCACAAGACCAAAGCACAAAACACAGGAAGCCTGCATTCTTTCCATCTAGTAATCTTTTGCAGTCATCAAACAGCAGTTAATATAGTTTAAGATTTCTTTAAAGTCATTAAAGCACAAGGTTAAAAATAAAACACCCTGATCATAACATAAAAGAGCAAAGATCCGGAGTGACCTGGTAATGGGGAAAAGACATCCTAGGAGCTCTGCTTTCCAAAGGAGAATTAAGATGGAGGGAACTAGGCTAATTATGTTTAAATATGCAAGGGTCCCTCTGGCCTAAGTCACCCTAAGCAAAGGCTTCCTGGAGAGTGACTAGCTCCCCAAGGGGGAGGACATGGCCCTCTACTCAGGGTCCCCGGTTCCCTTCCTCGCGTTTCCTTAGCCAGGGCTCGGGGTAGGTGTCCCCGGCTTCCCAGGGTCCGCTGTACCCAGCATCCAGGGCAGTGACCAGGTCAGCCCTGCGCTGGCTAGCGCCTGTGCCTGTGAGCGACAAGGATCCTCTTCAGCCTGCCCACTTCCTCCCTGGGCAAACAGGCAAGAGCTGTCAAACTCGCCAGCCTACGCAGCAGGACGCAGCAAATCGCAGGTCAGGATGGGCGAGTCCCGCTGGGCCACCCCAGGCTGGGATCCCCATAGGAACCAAAGCAAGAAGCCAACTCCTCTTGGGGCCTCTGCACCCCGCGGAAGCCGCAGTCTGTCCTCCCACTGGGTCCCCGGCCCCCGCTCACCAATCTTGGCCAGCGAGGCCAGCAGGATCCACAGCGTGATCTCGAAGGGGATCTGCACGTGCGGGTAGTCCAGCGTGAACACCGGCAGCCGGGTCTCCTCCAGCGGCGTGGTCCCTGGCGCCACCACGCTGGCCGGGATGGGCGGGTCTGCGCTGGTAGCCCCTGGCCCGGGCGCGTCTGGCGGGGTCTCGGCCGTGGCGCCAGGCAGCAGCGCGAGGAGCAGCAGGAGGCCGCCCCCGGGGCGCGCGGGGTCCATGCAGCCGGCTGGGGTCTCAGCTCATCGCGCCTGGTCCCCGCTGAGCTTCGCGACAGAGGCCACAGCGGCCCGACTGCCTGGCCGCCCGGCAGGCCCTGCCCCGGGCGGGGGCGGGACGGGGCGGGACGGGGCGGGACGCGGGGACCCGGGCGCCACCGCGCACCTGCTGCGGCCCGCGGGGGACACCGGCCCCGGAGACCACGTGCCTCTCCCTGGTCGCTGAGACCCCACCCTGGGCGACCCCGGTCCTGGCCAAAGACCTCTGGTGGAGCTGCCAGCGGCGTGCAGGACCGAGCTGTCCCCGCCCCGGAGGCCAACCCTGGCGTGCGTCCAGCGAAGGGACACGGACTGCGACCCACGCGTCGCGCGCTATACCCCGCGGGCGCCTGCAAGGACGCGGGGAGACTCACACCCCCGGGAGAGGCGCTGCGCCGCTGGCTGGGGTGCAGTCACTGCGCGCAAGAGTGGTCTAGGCTCCGAGAAACTTTAGAAAAGCCTCGTTTTGTGCCGCACCCCCCGCCCCGAAGTCTCAGCACAGGAAATTCATGTTGTTCGTTCTGCACCCTCAAACACACGGTGCGGAAGCCCGCCCCACTCCATCCTCCACGGGACCACCAGGGCGTGCGGGATTCGCTCACTGTCGGAGGCCAGCTCCTCTATCCTCCCTAGGCTCACAGAAAGAAAAAAAATCTCCCTCTGCTTTTAGGCTTAGAGGTGAACATGTCCAGGGCCATCCGAAATATAATCATTTCATGGAAAGCCAGTGATTTGCCTGGCGCAGATTGAGTGGCTCCGCTAATTACAGGACAGCTGTGGTTTGGATGGGAAGGAAGGGCGCGCGATTCTCCTTGATCTAAAAGCTTTATCTTCCAGCCAGCCTCTCTCCTCCTCCCTCTCAGCTCCAGCTCTCCAAGGGCTTTTTAGACTTCACGGGTTGCAATCTTATCACCAGTCGCTGAAAGGAACCGGTAGGCAGAGGAGCTGCTATTCAGTCCACGGAAACAATTTCCCCTTTGGTATTTGTGAAATAAAATCCTCCTCTTTCCTCGGTGTTTTCTTGGATGGGAACACTGTGAACACGTGGGCCTTGCTATGACACGCATGCCCAACAACTCCCCTGGCAGAGCAGTTTGCGGAAGGTCTAACAAGAAAATCCTTCGTGGGAATGGAAGGAAATAAGGCACCGTGGCCTTTCAGCCTGAAAGGAACACAGGGGTAAGTCCGGTGTACACGGGGAAGGCTTCATTCAGTTTATATTTTATAAGGTCAGGGTTTCAGAGGTGAAATAGAATAGGCTCAAATCCGAATTCTCTTTGAAAAGAATCTCTACTCCATCCAAAACCCAGTTGCCCCTTTTCCTGGGGAATTTTTATTGAACATGTGTGCCTGGGGTACCCTTGGGATGAGAGGTCTGCCTGGAAAAGCTTTCTTCTTCCACTGGGTAGCTCTGTGTGGAAGCACCAAGCAAGGTACTTGCTTTGTTAATCATCCCAGAAGCCAAAGACAGACAGACACTCTCATGTTAATTTTATCAGTGAAGAAATCTAGATGCATGGATGTCTCCAAACCAGCGGGCTGACTCAGTTACACATGGACCAGGCTCTGGAAGGTGACTTCATCCAGGCCTGGCTGGTTTCAACCAACCTTCCATCCCAGGACCAGCTGTCTGTGAACTGCAGGTCAATTTTTAAACAGAACACTGGAAAATAGTTTAGGAATTATTCCAAGTCATAGCAGAATAAAGTTTTACTTATACTAAGCAAATCAGGCCTGTTCTAACAGCTTAGTGTCTACAAGGACAGAGCAATTCAGACAATCATTTCCAGGGGTTTGAGTCACAGGTTTGAGTCTGGTTTGCATAGCAAACCAGAAGAAATCTACACTTTCAGGACTTAGTACCCACAGTAACTGTGGAGATTCTGGACTCATGGATCATGGTGACTTATAAATTCATGCCACTGCCATTAAAGCTTATCCAACTTTTCTTCCCTGTGCAAAAATGCCCCTTTTGTCCTTGCAAATAGAAAATGGTATATTTAGTTCTTGAAATAATCTTTTTATCTTTCTCCTGAAGCAAATAAGAAAGTTAAAGGAGGGGCCAGGGATTTAGCTCAGAGGTTCCGCCGCCTGGCCCACAAGTGCAAGGACCTGAGTTTGATCCCTGGTACCAAAAAAAGAAAGTTAAAGGATGCCCCTGTGGTGGTTGAATTTGAACTGTCTCCTAAAGGCCCATATATTGCAGGCTCAGTCCCCAGTGGATGGCTTTCTTGGGGCATGGAGCAGAACTTCTGGAAGGAAGGTAGGTCAAGCAAGAGGAAGTTAGGGCACCAGGGTGCTGTGCCCCTAGAGGAGAACCTGGACCCCAGCCCCTTCCATTCCCTCTCTTTCCATTCCTGGCCACTCGAAGGTGGCACTCTTCTCCATCGCCTGCTTCCTCCACGGCCCAAGTGACCATGGGCTGAAACCTCTGAACCTATGAACCAGAATAAGTCTTTCCTCCTCACAGTTGGCTTATCTAAGGTATTATGTAACAGACACAGGAAGCTAATGCTGCCCCTCTACTGACATTGACTTGGCAGGGCCTTTTCTTCAGCAGATACTACCAGGACTAGCTCTGTCTGAAGGCAGAAATTGAATCCTGTTCCTCCCTACTTGAAATCCTTTAGTGGTTTCTCTGTGTCATTTGAAAAGTCCAAAAATCCCACAATGATTCATCTAATTAGGCTTCTGCCTCTCCTATGACCCATCCCTCCCTCCCCATCCTGGGCCCTGTGAATGCTGCCTGTGTTCCAGATGCCCTCCTACCTCAGGGCCTTTGCACATCCTATTCTTGTCTCATCCCTGCCCTCAGTTTTGCCAACTCTTCTCAGGGATGTCCCCTTAAAGGCAGCTGAGCCCAGGAAGGACTACCTGGCCCCTGCCTTACTGGACTGGAGTCTTTGTGGACACATCTTAGAAAATTTCTTCTCAGCACTTAATCATCTTACTTTTCTCCCATTAAATGGCTCCATGAAAGTGACAAGACTGTTGAGTATTTGACTCGCTCTTTGACCCTTAATTCCTGTCACAGTGCCTGGAACACGACCAGTCCCACTAAGTATTTGCTGATGACCAAAAGTGGGCTTTGACCTGAAATCAGTTGTTCTTCCTTTGGATCTGGCTGTGGGCCTTTCTCTTGTTTGGTTCAGGTGTGGGACAGACAGGAACCTGTTCCAGTGTCACATGAAACATTTCCGTTCACTGATCCCTGGTTCCTATATTGTGATTTCACAGCTATATTTTTTCCCTTCTAACCAAGAGATGTGAGAATCCAATTGCATTACAGAATTTCTAAATATTTCCGAAGTAATAATTACCTAGTTGGAACTCCAATTGGGCCTGAGGAGTTGGCTCAGAACCTGCAAATCCCCTGGACCTACAGCGATTTGTCAGGACACCAATGATGTTAGTGGCTTCCCGGAAGAAGAGTCACCCTTGAGTCACAAGCAGGGCTGCATTCCAAGCATCCTTAAAATTCACCAAAGGATTTGGAATTCTTTCTGGGTATGAGGGAAAGAAGCTAGGAAAGGAAACCTGAGATGGCATAAGAGGATGAGCACCTGAAAAATAAAAATATGAGCTACACAGAGCTTAGGACCATCCATCTCCTAACACAAGCCTGGTTTTAAGTCCTCCCTGGAAACCTCTGGGGATGCCAAGGCTACCTTCGTTTCTCCTGCCGCGCCGAGCTGCACAACTCAGAGAGAGTTGCTGGCTGTCGACCCCCCAGGAGCTTCTGAATGAGGAGCAGCAGAAGACTCTGCACCCCAACAAACCTGTACAATTCCACAAGTTGATCCCTCAGAGGTAAAGATGAAGGGCTGGTGAGCTGCAGTGCTGCCCGGAGCCACAGCGGGGCGCCAGCGCCCTCTCCAGGAGGCAAGCTCCTCCCCAGCTCCTAGCTGAGGTGAGCCGGGCTGGGTCTCAGATTGGGACCAGGGAATGGCTCCACCCTTAGATACCACAGCCTCAGTGTCTGCTACCTAAAAGGCTGGAGAACAGAAGTGCTTTGGATTTCTGATTGTTCGGACATGGAGATACTTACATGAACATAGTGAGATACTCCAGGAAGGGATCCTGGTCAAACACAGCTTCTCTGTGTTTCCTACAGGTCTGTACACAGAGCCTGTAATTTTATGAAATATTTCTATGGTGTGTGCCTGTTTGGACAGTGACCTGTCATTCGAGGTCAGGGTTGGAATTTTCCTCTGTCTCTTGTCAGCACTTACAAAGTTGCCGATTTTGTAGCATTTCATAGTTTGGATTTTCGGATTAGGTACATTTAGATACTCATATGTCACACCATTCTTTGCATATTTGCATAATATTCCTATCTTAAATTCTCCCTTCTTTGATATCTGTATTATACAACCACTAACCCTTAGATGTATACTTATATTTCAACTCAGAATGTTGACCTAAAAATAGTTTGTACCCATATCACTGTTGACTTAATTCTAGTGCTTCATCCCTATGCCGACTTGATTTTGTTTGAGGAGACAGTCCTTAGCAAAACTGGGGGCCTGTTTCACAGAGAGCAGCCCTATGCAGGCACAGGCAGCAGTGTGAATGTTTTACTGATGTGTATCAGTTTAAATGCTTTTCCTGTCTTTCTTTTTGACCAGACATGAACATGTTTGTTTCATGTCTGCAGAGGTGTTTTCTTTCATGATAAGGTGCATTCTGCTCACTGGAGCTTGTAGAAAAGAGTGGTACTTTTAATATCAAATGCTCCTAGGACTGTATATTTGAATTAAAAGATTCCATTCTCAGATTTCCAACCAGCACATTCTTCAGTACTTCAGTTTCCTTCCGTAAAGTGAGAGAACTGGAATAAGACACTTAATGCTTCTTTAGAAAAAGATTTAAAATTCCAGAGTCTGAATCCAGTACAGCTGTGTCAAAGGGATCTATGCTGCACCCTGCCACATCCTGCTCTAAGCACCATGGTGTCCCATGCAGAGAGATTCTGACCTTTACACTGTCATCTAGCATCTGAATAGTGATGGATGATGCAGTCAGAAAGCAAAAAAGTCAGCCCACAGGAAACTC